TGAGCAACTAATACTGTACACTGTGACCTTGGAATAATCAGGCTGTGGAAAGACAGTGTCAGTACCTGTCTAAATTATTATATATGGACAGGCGTGAATCTTCGAGAACTTCTGCTGTGAGCTCCATTTTCAGCCACATTGGTCAAGCTCTTTTAGCAATTACATCGCATTTATTCCCCCCTTTCAGTCTAGCTGTTCCACTGTATGCACATTTAAAGTCAGTTTCCATAGTGACATCTGGTGGTGGCTTTGAAATCCTGGAGAGTATGTTTGGAATGATAAACATTTTTACTTTAATAGCTCCAGATTTCCGGCTTCCTTCAAATTTTTCAGCTTATTAACAGCCTTTCTTGAAAATGTCTTCATTGTATTCTTGAGGTTGGAAAGCGAGTCATTTACTGCCTCTGTCATGTTCCATTAAAGCAAAGGGATGATTCCTTGTAACGTTGCTGGGTGGTGCACGTAACAGGCTTGTCTAAACTTGTCTCCGTACTCAAAATGTACACCCCGGAATCACGAAGCAGCACCCCTACCTCATCTACCGCTCGTGGACCAGAACCTGGTGATTAGAGAGGTGTCCTTCTCGCGTTACCTTTCGCACTGGTACTTAGGGCACTGATCTCTCCTTGTCTGGCTGGAGGGACGGCTGTGGAAGGTCTGGGCTTCCGCTTCTCTCTCTCGCAGGAGGGGCTCACAGGTCGTCTGCTTGCATGCCGTTGTTGCTCTCTCAGGAGGTGAGAGCGGAGTAAAAAAATAGGAGCAGAGGCGGCCGAGGAGGAAGGGAAGAAGTTTGAAGGCACGGGGAAGACCACTGGGGGAGAGTTTGTGTGCGGTGTCTGTCTGTGGCACTGAGTATGGCATCCTTGTGGTAAGTGTTAGTGAGAAGCACCTTAGGGACTGGAGTGTGCATGTTTATAATTGCTGTTGGTCCCTGAGAGAATCGCTTCAGGGAGTTTGTAACGGAGTGCGGAAACCGCGGTTATTGGAAGCTGGTTGTTGGCAGTGGTCATTGGAAGGTGGGTCATGGGGAGAGAGGAGGGGTGAGGTGGAGATTTGAGAGTAAACCAGAGATTCCCTTCCAGTGCCGGCAGGGAGTCTTAGTTGCTTTCCGGTGTCAGAGGTACTGACTAGAAGCCCTCCGTGCGGAATTTTGAAGACTTTTATGAATGAATGAAGGTACTGCCGAAGTTACAGAAGTCCGTCTGTCCACGCTGGTAGTGGCTCCCAGAAGGACTGGGAACACGGGTAGGAATATGGACACCGTGACTGGAAGGGTGGACGCCGCAGGTCGTCTCAGAGCCCAGGACCCCTGTAAAGAATGATCAGTTCTGATGATCACTCTGTGCCTCATTCTGGATTCTAAACTCTGTACCTGCTTAGCTTCCTACACATGGCACATCCTTTCAGCTTTCTGTAAAAACAAGGGAGTTGCACTGTTGGATTGTTGAGGGCTTGCTGGTCTACCGTTGTTGATTTTTTTTGAGGGCGCCAAGGCTAGACCTGCTACTCCGTCTCTCTTGCTGTATTATGTGGACGGCTTCTGGCTGGTCCTGGACCAGTGGTCCGCTCTTCTAGGTTCAAGGTGGAACTCAGTACGGTGCTTTATGCCTTTGGGCACATACAGGTGTCTTCAGATACACCAGATGTATCTGGTGACTGAGCAGACAGATGAAAAAGCAGAACATAAAATAGCTTTGCATATGTGTGGTCTTTTCCCACCTACTTTCTGCTTTTAAAATAGTGCTTAGAATTCCAATCAGCAGTTAGAATAGTACTTGGGCACTGCCCTTGAACATCTGTGACCAAGCAGGGGCCTTGAATCTTCTCTCTTTTATTGTCCTTTAAGGAGGACCCTTACTTAAGCAATTGAAAACTTGTAGCCTCTCTTCGTGGCCTCAGCCCCTCGTGGCTCCCAGTGTCCTTGGTGCTGTGGAGCGTGTGACTGTGGTGCTGGGCCCGATCATGACCGTATAGCCTGTGGTGAAGACCCTGAGTTCTGGAGTCAGACCCACTCAGATCCCACTTCTGCCTCGTAACTGTTGACCGGGGCTGTGTTTCTTCTTTCCTTTTCCTTTTCCTTTCCTTTCCAGATTTTATTTATTTATTTGTCAAGCACAAGCAGGGGGAGCGGCAGGTAGAGGAAGAAGCAGGCTCCCCACTGGCAGGGAGCCTGATGCAGGATTCGATGCCAGGACCCTGGGATCAAGACCTGAGCCGAAGGCAGCGCTTAAGCAATTGAGCCACCCAGGCGCCCCCGCTCTGTAACTTTTAATGTTTAGTAATATCTGGAAGTTAACCTGAGTCTTGCAAACTTCCCCTCCTAACGGTGGCTAGGAGATCCTGCAAAGAAGGATATGGTTGATCCTCTAGTTGCCAGGTGATAGGGAAGAGAAGGGTAGCTCCCAACAGAACGCATCCTATAACTGAACACTGCAGTCTGGGTGCTCACAGACTAGCCTCGAAGCAGAACTTGATGGAAAAGAAATAGCTGCTTTTGTCTGTGATTTAAACCTTGTACTTGCATTTTATATTATATACTTATTTATAAAATGCAAATATTATATATTTTCCTTTTTTCTTTCCACCTTGAAACTGGAGAAAGCTATTACATGTGAATGAACATTTAATAGAGTCCTTCTGAATCCTGATGTGTAAAAAAATGAGTAAGAGGTTTCACATTAAATTTTATTACACTTTCATCATACTACCACGGACTGGTGGCATTTTGTTGACCCTGAGGTCAGAGACTTGTGGTGTTTGAACTCTGGTTCTGTCATTTATTATGACCCTGGGGAAGGTGCTCATCTCTCTTAATCTGAGGTTTTCATCTGTGGTGTGGGCATAATAAGACCACATGTTTAGTTAGGTTGGCTATAATGACTAAATAAGGTAGTGTGTGTAGGTAGTAAACACTGAACAAACTTGTTTCTGTAATTACCATTATTATTAAATGCTTACAGATCACATTTAGAGGGACACAATTTTAAAAAGTGGATAGCAGCATGAATTGAGTATTAGAATCAGAAAGAGGTGAATACAAGCACCATGTAGCTGTCTTCTTGAGATTTGCTAACACTTCACCTGTCAAATGAATTATGTTACATTTTAATGGCAGAACACAGAGGAACATATGTATACTCATTTATTAATACGCAATCCTAGTAGAGAGAACATTCTGTTATTCCCTGACCTCCTTTGTATCCCTTGATGGGGGTGATGAAAAGAGAAACTGGAAAAGATTATTTTTCCTTGGTCACTAAGGATGCTCTTCTTTCAGGCTAAAAACAGGTAGAACTTTACTAATTTCGTGAACAGATTGGGTATGCATAGACTATGTTTGGAACAGACAAAAAGGAAAATATGTTCAGTTTTTCTGACTCCTACCTCTGCCGCATAGGGAGAGCTGTGAGGCTTTGTTCGTTATTTCTAGGAGTATTACAGATCCATTTTGAGCATTTGCTAAGAATTAATGAAACAATTGTAAATAATAATGCTTTCTGAATAGCAGTACTCATTCATGATCATCTATTTCACATTTTAATATTTAGTTGAGTTTGGTATTTATAACTTGTAAACCTTTTGGGAAGTGTTAGATACAGTGATCTGACATTCAAAACAAATGAGTTTTTGTGATGTTAATTACTTCACATAAACAAAGATTTACATTTATGCAGTGATCAAAAAGTAAATACAGATTTATGTTTGGTTGAGATAAATACTGTTTCATTTCTCAGTGCAGATTAAATTGACATTTGTTCTTTTTCCTGTAGTATTTTGCATTAAATGGGAAACCGGTAACGCTAGAGTTGTAGGATTTCCAAAGTCCAACCTGGACCATAGTGTTGAAACCCCAAAAGTAGCATTCGTTCAGAATGATTAATGCACAAGGAAAAAATGCAGTGACATATTTTGGGAAAGCCAAAGGACAGGATCACACCATTGAATAAAAAGGTGGGATTTGCCTTAGAGTAATGGATATTTCCATTTTATCATCATCCTGAGAAGTGGCTAATGCTGGGATTAAGTAAGGTTTTGACTGGTTTTAGTGGCTAGGCCAGAACATGACCGACCCCTTAACCGTCGTCTTTGTAATCCCATAACTCACCTTTTACTGGTGGACTTAGTAGGAAATGTGTTCTAGCTTGGGTCCCAGTTGAGGGACTTTCTGTACCACCTTCAGTTAAGGCATCTGTTAATTTTTGTTCATTTAATTAATAATTACTGGGCTCTGGGTCAGGTGCTGTACTGGTATTCAAGCAGGATGTGGCCTCTGCCCTTGTGGAGCTCATATTGTGGTGGGAGAATTTATATTTTTAGCACACTGGTTGTCTTGCCATTAGCCTAAGGGGATTAGAGGGTTTCATTCCGTGCACAAGAGACTCGAGCAAACCTTTATTCTGGGTTCTGAAATGCTGTGCTCTGTTTTCTTGGCCACTATAAAGGGTGCGTATACCAGACTAGGGCGTGTCGGGGAGGATTGATGCAGCCTCTTTATCTGTAAACTCCAGCCCTGCTCCCGGGAATGCAGTGTGGGAAGCAGGAGCTGCTAGACTGTGCAGACTCTGAGCTCGGCCACTGCCTTTTGACTTTGTTTCTGGGTCCCTGATTAACCTCTGGAAAAATCCGTACATCTCAACTGGTCATAAATTTCGTCTTTGGAAACACAAGAGTATTGGACCATTAGCTGATCTCTTAGTGCCCATCTCATTGGGTGGTTTTGAGACTTAAATGACATACTCTTTGTGGAGTGTTCCGCATAGTGCCTGATGCCTAATGCTCGGACGCTTTTATAGCTAGTGCTACGTGCCAAGTGCTCTTCTGATTGTTAATGTATTTGCTCGTTTAATCAACCTGTGGACATATAGGAAGAAGTTCGGCAACTTGCCCAAGGTCGCAGCTCTAAGTGACGCATGAGCCCTTGAGAAATGAGAGTTGTTATTTGGGTTGACCCTGGGTGGCGCAGCAGTTGGTTGTTGACATGTCATTGTCTTTCTTTACAGGTGTCCTAGAGACTTCAGAGCGACTGGACCGGGAGTCCACCTCCCATTACTGGCTCACCGTCTATGCAGCGGATCGGGGTGTCGTGCCTCTCTCCTCGTTTATAGAGATCTACATAGAGGTTGAGGATGTCAATGACAATGCACCACAGACGTCAGAACCTGTTTATTATCCAGAAATAATAGAAAATTCCCCCAAGGATGTATCTGTGGTCCAAATAGAGGCATTTGATCCAGATTCTAGCTCTAACGACAAGCTGATGTACAAAATTACGAGTGGAAATCCACAAGGATTTTTTTCAATACATCCTAAAACAGGTACGTGGTAATAGTATTGTGTGAAATGTTCATGCTTACACTTCTTGATACGGGGAAATTAAGAATTTTCTTAATTTACCACTTTTCTTTATTTTGATAAGTCGTTTCCCTTCTGAGTTATTCAAAACAAGGCTTTATTTCCTGATGAGAATTTAGTCCAGATGTTTTCCTTTCCCCCCTTTGAACTTGTTTTTATAGAGCTTATTTTATGGCTTTGCTCATTAGTAGAATTTTACTTTCAGGTGAAAAAACAAATACAGTGTTTCCATAAAAGCTCCTAAATTAGTGATCTGTCTTAAACTCACTGCAAATTCTGCTGCTAAGTATTCCAATTTTCTGAACTTTGCTTTTATGAAGAATTATGAGAGGAATTTATTTCACAATTCACAGTATTTTTCTGTGTGGTTTTAGAATTTTTTCGTAGAGCAGTGCTGTGTTTCTGCAGGCGGGAGGGGATCAAGATTAAACAGTTTTCAAATTGGGAGCAGTTACTTTCTTGAACTGACACATCAAGTTTTCCTTCTGTTTCCCCAGGGTCTGACCCCCTGCTTGTAAGTGGCTAGCTCCTTGACTCCAAAATCCTCTTCCAAAATCCTTATCAACTTTTAATCTTTGTTCTTTTACATTTGACAGCACCTCTGATTTTTTTTTCCTCCGTTCTTGCTTCATTTCACACACAAAAAAAGAGCTTCCACCTAGCTATCATTTGTGTCCTACTCTTTGGTTTCCTGATCACAGTTAAGACAGAATCGCCGTATGACATTGAGAGGACAGTTTATTTGTAGGAAAGAAAACTTCTTATCAGATCACTGGCCTTTGAACTCAGGGATGTTTCAGTGATGCGGTACTTTTCAGTAGCATCTAATTAACAGAAAATTCTGAAGAGGGAGATTGACTGTAATGCACGTACATTCCCCCATGGTGTCTTTGCTAATTCTGTCTTTCCTTATTCTTGGTGGGGGCGGGGGGGGGTGGCGCTGGCCTTTTCAGTTACTGGGTTGTCTATTTCATGTATTAAGGAAGTAATATACAAAAAGCAAAATTAAGGAGGTATTCTCCACTTCTTTACCAGTCTTTGCTGTCCCCCTCCCTTCTTTTTGTACTATTCTTACTTTGTAATGTTCTTTGTTGAACTTAAAGCAATTCTTGAGATAGAAAGAAGCTTGAGGTCAGTGTCTGGGTACCACAGCTACTGTAAGATACCAGATGGAGATCAGTGTGTATGTTTTGTCTCTTAAAAAACATGTTAAAATGTTGGTTTTTTAAACCTCTTGTCATTCGTAGTCTGTCTTGATTGTTGAAAGTAAACTTAAGTACAAGATTTATCTTGAATATATGAGATTTACTTTTGCATGGAATCCGCTTGAGATCTCTCTCTGCCCCTCCCCCCATGCGTGCATGCACACTCTAAAAAATTTTTAAAAATGACTTAAGAATGATTGAGCTGACAACGTACAACATCCATTCATGATAAAAACCTTCTGCAGAGTAGCTCTGGAGGGAATATCCCTCAACATAATAAAGTCCTTATATGAAAGACCCACAGCTAATACCATTCTTAATGGTGAAAAGGTGAGCCCTAAGGTCAGGAATAAGACAAGGATGTCCACTCTTACTGTGTTTATTCAACATAGTACTGGGAGTCCCAACCACAGCAATCAGATAACAGAAAGGAATACAAGGCATCCAAATTGGTAAGGAAGAAGTAAAACTCTTGCTCTTTGCTGATGATGTGGTACTATGTTTAGATAACCCTAAATACTCCGCCAAAGAACTGATAGAACTAATAAATGAATTCAGCAAAGTCACAGGATACAAAATCAATGTACAGAAATCTAGTGCATTTCTATACACCAATAACGAAACAGCAGAAAGAAAAATTAAGAAGATAATCCCATTTACAGTGGCACTCAGAATAATAAGATACCTAGGGATAAACCTAACCAAAGAGGTGAAAGATCTGTACTCTGAAAACTATAAAAACTAATGAAAGAAATTGAAGATGACACAAAGAAATGGAAAGATACTCTATGATCATGGATGGGAAGAACAAGTATTACTAAAATGCCTATACTACCCAAAGCAATCTACACATTTAATTCAATCCCTATCAAAATACCAACAGCATTTTTCACAGAACTTGTACAAACAATCTGGAAATTTGTATGGAACCACAAATGACCCCGAATAGCAAAAAGAAAAGCAAAGCTGGAGGCATCACAATTCCAGACTTCCAAGTTATATTATGAAGCTGTCATCATCAAAACAGTATGGTACTGGTACAAAAATAGACACATTGATCATTGGAACACTACAGAAAACCTAGAAATAAACCCACAACTGGATGATCAATTAATCTTTGACAAAACAGGAAAGAATACCCAATGGAAAAATGACACTCTCTTCAACAAATGGTGTTGGGAAAACTGGACAGCCACATGCAAAAGAATGAAGCTGGACCACTTTCTTACACCATACACAAAAATAAACTCAAAATGGATTAAAGACCTCTAAGTGTGAGACCTGAAACCATAAAAATCCTAGAGGAGAACACAGGCAGGAACCCATAGCAACTTTTTTCTAGATGTGTCTCCTGAGACAAGGGAAGCAAAAGCAAAACTAATCTGTTGGGACTACATCAAAATAAGTTTCTGCACAACAAAGGAAACAAAACAAAAAGGCAGCCTACAGAATGGGAGAAGGTATTTGCAAAAGACATATCTGATAAAGGGCTAGTATCCAAAATATATAAAGAACTGATACAATTCAATACCCCCAAAACAAATAATCCAATTTAAAAATGAGCAGAAGACATGAACAGATATTTCTCCAAAGAAGACATCCAGATGACCAACAGACACATGAAAAAAATAGATGCTCATCATCACTCACCATCAGGGAAATGCAAATCAGAAGTACAATGAGACATCACCTCACATCTGTCACAGTGGCTAAAGTCAACAACACAAGAAACAACAGGTGTTGGTGAGGATGTGGAGAAAGGGAACCCTCCTACACTGTTGGTGGGAATACAAACTCTGCAGCCACTGTGGAAAACAGTATTTCCTAGAAACAGGAAAAAATCTTTTTTTTAAAGATTTTATTTATTTATTTGCTCAGAGAGAGAGGGAGAGCATAAGCAGGGAGAGCAGCAGGGTGAGGGAGAGGCAGGCTCCCTACTGAGCAGGGAGCCCGATGCGGGGCTCGATCTCAGGACTCTGGGATCATGACCTGAGCTGAAGGCAGACGGTTAACCGACTGAGCCACCCAGGTGTCCCTAAATAAGTAAAATATTAAAAAAAAGTTAAAAAAAAAAATAGAACTACCCTATGATCCAGCAATTGCAGTACTGGGTATTTACCCAAAAGATACAGAAACACTAATTCAGAGGGATACGTGCACCCCAATGTTTATTGCAGCATTATTTACAATAGCCAAACCACGGAAGCAGCTCAGTTGTTCATCAGTAGATAAATGGATGAAGAAAGGCCTTGTAAAGCACACACACACACAGTGGAGTATTATTCAACTATAAAGAATGAAATCTTGCCATATGCAACAACATGGATGGAGCTAGGGAGTATAATAAAGTAAATCTGTCAGATAAAGATGAATACTGTATGATCTCACTCATATGAGGAACTTAAAAAAAAAATGAGCAAAGGAAAAACAGAGCGAGAGAGAAACCAAGAAACAGACTCTTAATTATAGAGAACACACTGATGGTTCCCAGAGGGGAGGTGGGTGGGGGGATGGGTGAAGTAGGTGATGGGATTAAAGAGTACACTTATCATGATGAAATAGAATAAAATAAAGACCAAAAAATAAAATAAATTTAAAAAGAATAATTGAGCCATCTAGAAATTTAATTACAGAAGAGAGAAACGGGATCTGAGAGTTGTTCTGGAAGAGTTGGGGGGAGGGTGCCAGAGCCCAAGCCCATGAAGGAGGGCTGGAATTAAGAGATTATATAGGAACATGAAGCCTAGAATCCGCATCTGTAAATGATTCACAAGAGGCTTGTTCAGGCAGCCTAGTTGCCTACTATTTTTTCTACTGCACAAGTGGTAACCGAGTTCAGCTTCATTTTTGTGAAATAAAATGAAAGAGAACGAAGCCAAAAAATTAGAAGGCACTATGAAACCTAAAAGGAGAAAGGTAAGTTTATAAAAATTTCACAGGATTTCGGAGTCAAACTGGGAGACAAGAAAAATCTAGAAGTTAAAGCCTTGAGGTGATAATTCAGGAATAGAACTACCTCTAATTTTACAATTGTTCAATGAATTAGACTTTAAAATGCTTTCATTTTTCCTATGTCTTCTCTCTGTCTTCTAGATTAGGGTGAGTCCTCTGGGCAGAGACAGGCAGACAAGTGAGCAATAAATGTCCTTTTGAATATCTGAGCCAGGACTGTAGGTCTGGGCATGATGTATAATTACCGAGAAGGAAGGAGGCAAAGAGCTGATGTTGCTTAGAGCCGTTGCGGGACAGCCTCGAAACCTTGCTTCTCTCCGGAGCCTCTGAAGTGACCACTCCATTGCTCTGCTGTTGGGGGTCACAGAAATGTGATTCGTGTGGCCTTGCGGCTTCCTCTCCCAGCTCTCGATTCTGACCGCTCTTAGGCAGGGATGTCGGCAGACACTTCTTGATCTTCAGGGAGAATAGATCCCCTCCAGGAGTCCACAGCCCCTCCGCAACCCCTGGGTGGGAAGCACATGATCCTGCTGGCAGAATGACGGGAGCAAATTCGGAAGGATTACAAAGAGGCTTTATTTTTTTATGAGTTGAAGACAGATAAGAGTGGAGGGATAACTACCGTTAGAACCCAGAATGTTTTTGTTGTGAAGTATATTACAAACTGTATGGTTAGTAAAGAAGTCTGACGATTTCACACGTCGTGTAAAGTCTCTAAAGATCAAGAAATAAGCATCTTTTAGCTTGGGCATTATTAAAGATTAAATAAGAGCTTTACAAGGCCTTTCTCCAGATGATTCTGTCCCCCCCAACTCAGCAGAAACTTTGAGCCTGATCCTCAGGGCCCAAATAGCAATGCTTCAAAGTGTACATCTTGCTCAAAACATTTAAAGCAGACCTGTTTTTAATGGGTAGCTTGGTGTTGTTGGGGGCCAGATTGTGGAAGCTGATGAAAGAGTCTAGCAGAAGAATGTTCCCATGATTTACTGACCATAACACCACCTGGAGACCCTAAATCATGTTCCTTAATAATTAATGGCTGAGTGGGAAAAATCACTGGGCTGGAAATCAAGAGATCTGGGCAGTAGTGAGGCTTACACCTCTGGGATCATGGGGAAAACTGGCTTCCCGGTCCTTCCGTCATGTGATTAGTGATGAGCGTTTTGCACGCCTGTTGAGGGATGTCTACGCAGAGTGCAGGCCACTTGGAATCATTTATGGGAAAGATGCTTCTGCCTCTTCCATTTGCATGTGCTACATTTGCTCTATTCGCTGTGCATAAGATAATCAAGATTTTAGTAGATTGATCCAAGATAAACACATTGGATGGAGTAAAATGAAACTACTTGCTCCTTGG